ATAGTAATGATGCAATGATATCAAAACAAAATACTAATAAATATAGTAAACATGGTGGTACATAACTAACCACGCTATTCATAAAGATTTAGATATTTCATAGGTCACAGATGTCATCAAGCACAGAAGCTCGATCTACCGCTCAAAAATTGCCACTACAACCATTGCTTCTCTAATCGACTCTTAATCACTAAGAAGACTGAAAAGATGCTGGCCAAGCAATCTTAAATGAAACGCTAGGCTTCACTCATTGGAGTGAACTCTAGTTAATTATTTCTTTTTTTTATTATAATTATTATTATTATTTTTATTTATTTATTTATTAACTTCCCGTAGGGTAAGTTATTGTAATCGTCCAAATATCGAAATTGAAATTTTTTTGCATTTCTCGATGTTTTGAAAGTTTGTATGTGTGTGTGTATGTTTGTATGGATACAATTTTTCAGTCACGTTTTCGGGTGCACAGATCAACAGATTTGAATGGTTCAAAAAACATTCGATTCCTATTGATAGGGAGATGTGCTGATTAGTTTCTGGTAAAGGCAGGCCCAGCCATTTTGAAGATACAGAGCTAAATATGTAAAAATTGGCAGTTTTTGAGAAAACTAAGCGTCCGATTTGAATGATTCAAAGAACTTTCTGCCTATCTTAACAAAATAATTGATTTTGGGAAAAAAAAAATTGTTTCAATTTTTTTTTTTTTAATTTTTTGTATATCGAAAATAATTCAGATTTTATTTTTAATTCTGACTATAGTTCTAATATACTTTAAACAAATAATTTCAACTTTGCAATTCAGTTTATATAATTCTTATAAATATTAGACAATGTTACAATATTTATAATAATCTATTTGAAAACATTCAGTATTCCTCGAACATTTCGTTACCGTACGGGAAGATCCAGCAATTTGCCTTAAGGCACGATGCCATACACCCCACTAGTTTATTCATTATTATTATTATTATTATTATTATTATTATTTTCTAATTTGTGTCAAAATAGCTTATAAGATAAATTGTATCTTGCTATTAATAAATAAATATAAATAAAAAAATTAACAATAATAAGAAAAAGTTAAAGAAATTCTACGAAGTAAAAGCTTAATTATTTAACCAATGCAAAATATATAAATAATTTTGTGAGCACATTTTTTACAAATATTACATCTTATTTATCACGAATCTGGTATTTCCTAAGAAATGTTGGTCAACAGAGTTAGAATAAATATTAATTTAATTTATCTCTTGTAAAATTACTTTTATACTCAATATACATTTTTATTTACCATTTTTTATTGGCAAAGATATGCTTAAAAGGTATATTTAAATTTCTATGAAATATCTGATAATTTAATGTGCATATGTCTAATAATCATTTTTGACTGGCAAATGGCTGTTTTTTTTTTTCAATTCACTTGTCCATTTGTCTACCTGTCCACTTCTCCATCTTTCCACTTGTCTACCTGTCATCAATATTTCTGCACGTATATAAATCATTAGTAATAATTTGAAATTATCATTTTAGATAAACAAATGTATTTTTTTAATCTTTCTTTCTGTAACTTCAAAACTGCTGGTTCTGCATTAATCAATTTTTTATTTCTTCATCACAAGTAAAATATATATTGAATCATTCAGATCGAATTTACTGTTTATTTTTCAAAAACATAAATTCATTCATAACACATTTTTCTCTGTATTTTCCAAACGCGTGGAATTTTCTTAGCCAAAAACTATTCTGCATATCTCTCCATTAATAGGAATTGAACATTTTTGAATCATTCAGATCGGTTAATCTGTGGTTTCTGAATTGTGGAAAAAATTGTATTTTTATGAAACACATACCACATACACGCGTATTGTTCGAAGAAATGTCATAATGTTTACGAGGGTTTGAAACATGAAGATGTGCAAAAATTTTCATATTAGATATTTTGCTATTACTATAACTTACCATATAAAAAGTTATTTAGATGAAATACGTTTATGCATTTTTGCAGAGTCATCCCCAATACTCATTCCAATATGGTGTCAACGACTACCATACCGGTGACGTCAAATCACAACATGAAACTCGTAACGCAGATGCAGTAAAATGTAACATAAAGTTAATAATTATGGTCTGGAAAATATTTTATGCTTGAAATCCATAATAATATATACCAGGTCAATATTCTTTGGTTGAACCTGATGGTTCCGTACGCACAGTTAAATATGTAGCCAACGACAGAGATGGTTTCAATACAGTTGTTTCCAAAACTAGATCTACTGTACATTCCCTCGGACATCACGGACATCATTGGTGAATTTATGTAATAAAATCGACAAACTCTTTCTATCTTTTACAATGAGTACAACATGTATGTCAAGTGTGATTTATTTATAGAGAAATAAAAACTATTTTGTACCAAAAATATTCTGCGTTTCTTTTAAGTATTTCAATATTTTGTAAAAAAAAAAGAGTTAAAAAGTACTATAATGATTTCAATTGATAAAACACTTAAAATAAATAACTTAATTTTAGATAAATTGTTTTTTCCAAAATTTAAACTACAGTTTTGATTGTAAACAAATTGTCCGTTACTACTCAGAAATCGGCATAACCGGCACTTTCATTGCTTTTGGCTGAAGACCGAATCGCTCAGCGACGTGCTAATTGTGTGTCATCTTTTATGCCATAAAGAGCAATGGATCTGTATTTAGTATATTAACTAGCTGTAAGTGGAATTCTGTCTTATAGCAATTAAGGCATCATGCCTTAAGGCAAATTGCTGGAACTTCCCGTACCAAAAAGTACTATTTTTTAAAAAACGATTAACATTTTTGAAAAAATTTTGCTTCAAAAAAATTAGATTTTTGAGAAACTATAAACTTGAGTTTTTTTGAAAACAAAATTTTTTTGAAAAGAAAAATGTTTTCTTCATTTTGACATATTTTGAAAATTCTAAACTTTTTTTCAAAGCAATCGTACTGCTTGAACTGCATAGAGACGAAATGTCAAAGCGCGTAAGTGCCGCGCCGCCGTCTAACGCATAAGCATTGGTACGGAACTCATAGAAATGTAAAAAAAATATACTTATTGTTAAAATCTCTATAAAAAAACTGATAATTTGATGTGCATATGTCTAATGATCATTTTTAACCGCCGAATGGCATTTTTTTTACTTTTTTTATTAGATCTCCGAAACCGCTAGACCTGCCTTTATGAAAATTTGATCAATTCTTTATCTTGTCTATACAAGTGAAATGTTTTTTGAATTATTTAAATCGGACGCTCCGGTCTCTTAAAAACTGAGTTACCGTTTTCGGCACTTTTTGCCCCGTATCTCCGAAGCGGCTAGACCTGCCTTTGCCGGAAACTAATCAGCACGTCTCAATACGAATCGAATGTTTTTTGAATTTTTCAAATCGATTGATACGTGTTCCCGAAATCGTCGACGAAAATTTGTATCCGCACACACATACATACACGCTCACACACAGACACACATATACATTCATTTTTTTTAAAGTATGCCAAAATATTCAGATACCTCTGAAACGTAAAGATATATAAAATGTTTCATTTTCGATTTTTTTGCGATAACTATAACTTGCCCTACGGGAAGTTAAATATAATATAAATAAATGAATTTGTTATTGTATATTTAAAAAAAATAAACTTTATCGTCTTTATATGTTATATGTTGACCAAGCGCCACCTCCCTATGATTGTACCTATTTTAATAGTTGATCAATAAAATTATATAAACATTTAACATAATTTTCAAATATTTTTTAATAATTTTGAACTTAGTACACCAAAAATTACACATAATCTAAAAGCACATAGAATACGTCGCTTTTAAATATATTTAGAAGATCGAGGCGATTCGCTCATACAGTTGCTCATAATCAAATTGTTGTATTCTGTGGTTGTCGCACTACTGAACTGTTTTTAAATTTTTATATTCAATTCAAACTACTTAGGGCATGGGTACCCAAAATAAATTAGTAAAATGTTTCATAACCCAAATATTATTATTACACATGCGTTAGAAGTATTTGAAAATATTAAAATATTATTGCAAGCAAAAATAAACATACTGGAATTTTTTGACGTCCTAAAGAGTTTGAATTGAAAATAAAATTTAAAAATAATTTGGTAGTGCGGCAACGATAAAAGATAAGAATAAGTTGATTAATAGAACTCGAATGAGCGAATTGCCTCGAACTTCTAAATGTATTTAAAATTTTTGTATTTTATGCGCTTTTGGATTAAGTGTAATTTTTTTTGTACTAAAACCAGAATTATTAAATAGTATTTGAAAAAATTACCGTAAATGTTTAAGTAATTGCATTGATCAACCGTTAAACAGGTAAAATAATAGCGGGGTGGTGCTAGAACATCAACATATAACAATAACTTTATAAAGGCGATAAAGTTTAAATTTTAACATATACAATAACAAATTCATTTCTCCATATCATATTAAATAAACTAAATACAGATCCATACTGCTTTATCGCATAAAAGATGACACACAAAAACACGCGCTGAGCGGCGGTTGCGGTTCCTTTTATTTTAACTATTCGGTATTCGGCAGAATAATAATATAGGACCTATAGGTGATAGATTTTCCGATTACCGAATAGTAACGGACAATTATTTCACAATCAAATCTTTAGTTTAATTTTTGGAAGAACAATTTGTCTAAAAATAAGTTAATTTATTTCAACTATTTAATTAATTGAAATCATTATAATAATTCGAATCATTAACACTATTTACAAAATATTAAAATACTTAAAAGACATATTTGAAATAATGCCTGAAACACAAAATATATTTGGTACAAAATAGTTTTTATTTCTTTATGAATAAATCACATTTCGTATACATGTTGGGCCAGCGGTGGCGATATCGGTTAGAGAGCGTGGGCTAGCAGCAACTAGTTCCAGGTTCGTTGGATCGATTTCCGCTACCGCCGTAGTCCGACATTTTCACTTGATGTTACAGATTTCAAATATAACCTCAAGTGAAAATCGCCTCTCGTGGGTATAGTTGCATCTATAATAAAAAGTTAGCAAATACTTCGAGTATAGATGATTAGTCAAACCTGGACTGGTCAACTACTGGGTTGCCATCCATTCATATAATAATAAGAAAAGTCAAAACAATTACTCAATGTCTTAAGAGTAACAGATCGTAATTAAAAAAGAATATATATATATATATATATATATATACACATGTTATTCTCAATGTAAAAGTTAAGAAAAGTTTATCGATTTTATTATATAAATTCACCAATGATGTCCGTGATGTCCAAGGGAATGTACAGTAGGTCCAGTTTTGGAAACAACTGCTGTTTGAAAACCATCTCTGTCGTTGGCTACAGACTTAACTGTGCGTACGGAACCATCAGGTTCAACCAAAGAATATTGACCTGGGATATGTTATTATGGATTTCAAACATAAAATATTTTCCAGACCACAATTATAAACATTATGTTACCTTTTTCTGCCTCTCCGTCACGAACTTCATGTTGTGATTTGACGTCTCCGGTATGGTGGTCGTTGACACCATATTGGAATGAGTATTGGGGATGAGTCTACAAAAATGTATAAACGTCAAAGAGTTAATAGGTTAATAAGTATTTCACCTAAATAGCTTTTCGTATGGTAGGTTATAGTAATCGCGAAAAATCAAATATGAATTTTTTTGGCATATCTTCTTGTTTCAAGACCTCTTTAACATTTTGGCAGTTAACGTTTGACACTCAACCGAGTAGCATCGTTCTAAATATTTAATTGTAAATACAGGTTAGTTGCGTAACTTAGTGTTCGTGCAGTATACTCGTGACACATGCGGCAGATATTATAGTGTTGTGAAATAGTTGAGTAAACTACTTCAAAATTTACCTTTTCTTTTCAAATAATTAATTCTAAGTAATTTTTAACAATTAGTAAAAATTTGTGTTAATAAATAGTGAACCCCTCTGGGGTTCGCTATGAATGAATTATCAAAAATAATCACTGAATCAGCCGAAGTACTTGCAGATGATTCAAATACAAACGCTGAATACGTAACTTAGTACAAAAGCAAACGCAAAATGTTCAGTTACCAATAAATACAGTGACATCAAATATGGAAACCGAAAGTGAACCCAGTAGTGTTGTTAAAAATATGAATCCGTGGCAAGTAGTCCCAAGCCCGGGTGTAAAAAGAAAGCGTCTCAACAATCAAAATGAATCCTTCAAATTAGTCAGCAAATTTAGCTTATTAATTAATCACGAGCCAATAGCCGTTACAGTTACTGATCCAGTTAAAAAAATACATCTACCCTCAGTATTTATTTATGAAGTCATCGATTTTCCAGATATAATAAACGCTTTAAAAACCGTTTTGAACCATCAAAAACTTATGAACGTTCATACTAATCAAAATGAAAGTAAACTCCGAGGAGTGCTAACACCAGAATACAAGTCAATAGACTTACCAACTCTCAACATATGTCCTACTCACAGGCCATTAAATCGCAAAATTCAGTTTCAACATCTGAAAGTCAGTCCAATTGAACAATGTCACAAATCCTGGGTGAATTTAAAATCATATTTAATCAGCTCATGGTTTATGGAACGCTAATGTGCTAAATCAACATAAAAACGAATTAAAAGTTTTTCTTACTGAAAATAGAATTGATGTTTTACTGGTAAGTGAAACACACTTTACCAAATTCTCAAACCTATTATTTATACCTCACTACAGTCTTTATCACACATCTCATCCAGATGGTAGTGCCCATGGAGGTACAGCCATATTAATCAAATCAAATATTTCGCATTTCAAAATCCAAAAATACAGTGAGAATTACTTGCAAGCAATATCTGTACAAGTTAAGTTTACGTCTTATGTCTAGTGTTAGAACGATAGTATCGATACTGAGTAAGTATCGATACTTTGACTTCGATACTGAGTACTTTTGGAATCGATTCTTTAGGACGATTCTTTTGACGGTATCAATACTTTGCGCCGATTCTACTCAAAAAGTATCGGCTATATTTTTTGACCCCACCAAAAGTTCGACCGCATTTTATGAACACCACTCATTCTTTTTTGTCGCGAAGACACCTCTCTTCATAGATAACAAACGAAACAAACGATAAGTCGAGTGCGATATGGTTTTTGTTAAAGAAAATGTTTATGAATGCCCCTAGTTCGAAGCTAATGATTAACAATAAATAAAAGAAGTAGAGTTTAAGATTACGTACGGCTCGCTCGTAGGTAAGCGGTTAAGAGCGACGGGACTTGTTTCAGAGGTCCCGGGTTCGATACCCACTTCGAGCAGCCTGTTGTCAGGCAACATTTACAACGATTTTCACTTGGAAATATAGATAGCAATATGTTTACAGAGATTGTAATAAAAATTTATCATACAGAGATGTGTCAACTGTTTGGGTTGCCACCTGTAATAAAACAAACGTAGTTTGTAAGATATTACTCACAATAGCTCATAGAACCCATTAGTTCTGATTGCTGTTCAAATAAAATTATAAAAAAAAAAATAAAAAAGATTACGTACGATAATATAATTTCTGTTACCTCCAAGAACGTAAGTTTATCAACGATAATAAATTTTGTATATTATATGCAAAAACCTTGTTATCTGCGAAATTGTCATGCAACCAACTTTGGTTAAATAATTTACTAAGACATTTGATTTCCGATTCTAATTTTTAAAGCCGATACTTTTTTTCTAAAATAAATACTACTTTCTAATCACTAATTATCTCCATTAAAATTATTATAATTTCGATTCTAATATTTAAAGCCGATACATATTTTTTCTAAAATAAATACTAATATTTCTAAATAGATTCTAATATTTAAAGCCGATACTTGTTTTTTCTAAAATAAATACTATTTTTATTTCCGCTAAGTGTTTCCATTAAAATTATTATAATTCCGATTCTAATATTTAAAGTCGATACTTGTTTTTTTCTAAAATAAATACTATTTTATAATCGCTAAGTATTTCAATTAAATTATTATAATTCCGATTCTAATATTTAAAGCCGATACTTGTTTTCTTCTAAAATAACAACTATTTTATAATCGCTAAGTATTTCCATTAAAATTATTATAATTCCGATTCTTGAATGAGTATTTTTCTTTGTGATATAAATTAGCCGATACTAAATTCATAAATGAATACTTTTATCACAAAACAATACTATTTTTTATTTGTGATATAAATTAGCCGATACTAAATTCATAAATGAATACTTTTGTCACAAAACAATACTATTTTTTAATTAATGAGTATTTTTCTTTATGATATAAATTAGCCGATACTAAATTCATAAATGAATACTTTTGTCGCAAAACAATACTATTTTTTAATTAATGAGTATTTTTCTTTATGATATAAATTAGGCGATATTAAATTCATAAATGAATACTTTTGTCACAAAACAATACTATTTTTTAATTCGTGATATAAATTAGCCGATACTAAATTCATAAATGAATACTTTCATCACAAAACAATACTATTTTTTAACTAATTAGTATTTTTCTTTATGATATAAATTAGCCGATACTAAATTCATAAATGGATGCTTTCGTCACAAAACGATACTATTTTTCAATTAATGAGCATTTTTCTTTTTGATATAAATCGAATTTGAAATTAGTATCGACAAATTATTGTTTTAAACTTCTCAAAATATTGAAAATGATGCTGACTTAACAGTATCAAATACAGGCAATAGAATTTATCATAATATTGTAATTCGATCTGTAGAAAGTTTTAGATCTCTCTTGCACTTATGTTTGATTTTGGTGAAAAGTACTTAATATTCGATACTGAGTAGTATCGATACTTTTGCCACGATACTTTTTTGGAATCGATACTTTGCCTCGAATCTTTTTTCAGTACTCGGTATCGATACTTTGCCTCTATACTTCTAACACTACTTATGTCGTCAGATTATCGGCTGTGTATTGTCCACGGCATATAATAAATTGCTCGCAGTTTTGTGCATCAGTTCGCTTCGAGCTACCGTGCAGTGCACTTCGTACCTTATCAGGTTCAGGTATAATTCGTGCGATATCGTAAAAGATATTGTTATCAGTTGAATCATAATACCGAAGTGTTATAAATCAGAACAATCAAATGTACCCGCAAGGGGATTACATTTAGTACATTTCAGTGTATTAAAATTAATGTAAACACATTGTTCATACGGACTTTTATAATAAAGTGATTGTGATATTTATTGAACAAATACTAAATAGTGTTTAATACAAAAAGTGTCACATTGTACAACAATTTAATTGTGGACCCCTTTGGGGTTCGCAATGAATAACTTAATTGTGGAGTCGGCAAATGTAATTGCCGACGATTCACATACCAGTTCAGAATTTATTACAGAACATCTACGTAATCAGTCTGCAAATTCAACTTGTTCATCAACAGACATAATAACTAATGCTCCCTTACCGTCAACAAACATAACAACTAATGCTCCCATACCGTCAACTAGCGTTATGGAAGTTGAAGCGGAAACTAAGAATTCTAACAAAAACAAATGGCAAATTGTCCTGATTGTTGGCGTAAAAAGAAGACGAAGAAGAAGAAAAGAAGTCCTTACTAATAAAGAACCAGGCAATTAAGGCATCGTGCAAGGCAAATTGCTGGAACTTCCCGTACCAAAAATTATTATTTTTTTTAAAAACGATTAACATTTTTGAAAAAAAATTACTTTGAAAAAATGAGATTTTTTAAAAACTATAAATTTGACAAAAAATTACTTTTTTTTGAAAAAAAAAATTGAAAAAAAAAATTATTTTTTTTTTTTAAATCTTTTTTTTGAAAAAAAAAATGTTTTTTTTATTTTGACATATGTTGGAAGATCTGAACTTTTTTTCAAAGCAATCGCACTGCTTTAAATGCATAGAGACAAAATATAAAGCGCGTAAGCGCCGCGTCGCTGTCTAACGGGTAAACATTGGTACGGAACCCATAGGAATGTAAACAAAATTTATACTTATTGTTAAAATCTCTATAAAATGTCTGATAATTTGATGTGCATATGTCTAATGATCATTTTTGACCGCCAAATGGCATTTTTTTTTACTTTTTTCGTTATATCTCCGAAACCGCTAAACCTGTCCTAATAAAAATTTGATCAAATCTTCATCTTGTCAATACAAGTAAAATGTTTTTTGAATTATCAAAATCGGACGCTCCGTTCTATTAAAAACTGAGGTACCGTTTTTGGCGCTTTTTGCCCCATATCTTCGGAACGGCTAGACCTACCTCCGGCAAAAACTAATCAGCACGTCTCCTTATCAATACGGATCGAATGTTTTTTAAATTATTCAAATTGCTTCATCCGTGTTCCCGAAATCGTCGACGAAAATTTGTATCCGCACACACATACATACTACGTACGCACACACACACACACACATACATCCATTTTTTCTAAGGTATGCCAAAATATTCAGAAACCTCTGAAACGTAAAGATATATAAAAAATTTCATTTTTGATTTTTTTTGCGATTACTATAACTTACCCTACGGGAAGTTAAGATATTAAATCAAATAATTCATTTTCATCCACCGATTAATAATTCAGGAATTTCCCAATGTATTCACTGCCAATTATTCGGTCATACAAAATCTTATTGTAATAGACCGTTTATTTGTGTAAAATGCAGTGATGATCATCCCACTTCAATTTGTTCCAAGTCGCGCGAATCTCCAGCAGTCTGTGCAAACTGTTTTCAATCCCATCCAGCTAATTACAAAGGTTGCGTCATTTATCAACAGATAGTTAATTCTAAAAATAGAATTAACAGTAAATTTTCTGTCAATCAAAACAAGCCTACCGCTTCGCAAAGCTATGCAGACAAGTCTCGCTTCGGCAGACTCACCAATACCGAGCACTTATCGTAAGCGCAAGCTATAAAATCACATGATTCAGTCAATAATTCAGAAAATCAAAATTCAGCTATCTGTCAATTTTTAGTGGAATTTAAAGCAATGTTCAACCAGCTAATGCAACAGAATAGTATGATAATTAACATGCTATCAACACTAATCAATAAAAGAAACTAGTATCAATGGCTAAATTTATTAGAATATGTGCTTGGAATGCAAATGGCCTACTACAACATAGGAACGAACTAATTATTTTTCTGTAAGAAAACAAAATTAACGTGTTTTTAGTAAGTGAAACCCACTTTACTAATTACTCCAATATGTACATTCCCTACTACAACATTTATCACACTCCGCATCCAGATGGCTCTGCTCATAGGGGTTCAGCTATACTTATTAAATATAACTTATCTCACTATGAGGTTCCTAAATATAGCAAGGATTTCTTACAAGCTACATCAATCCAAGTCAAATTCGCTACATGCAACATCATACTATCTGCGGTATATTGCCCTCTACGCCATGCGATTACCTGCTTTCAATTCTATGATTTCTTCTCCTCTTTAGGACCCAGGTTTATAGTGGGAGGTGATTTCAATAGCAAGCACCCTCTCTGGGGCTCAAGATTGACTAATCCCAAGATCAGACAATTATACAGTGTAATTTCCCAATATAACTATGCAACGCTGTCGACGGGTACTCCAACTTACTGGCCCTCAGATCCCAAAAAGAAACCAGATCTTCTGGATTTCTTTATTTCTCATGGCATCAATACAAATTATACTGAAATTGAAACTAATTTTGATCTTTCATCCGACCATACTCCTGTAA